CATGTACATGCGCGGGAACCAAGGCGCTGACCTTAGCCAGCGTCAGCACACAGGCGGCAGGATCTGGTGCAGGCTGTGGCGCGTACTGGCACCACCCACGCCAGACTGCTCTCCTTCCAGGGAGAGACCCCGCCCCATTCTCCCCTCCGCCCACCCCGGTGGACCTGCCTGCTCTGGGCATTTCACTTAACGGGGTCCCACGTGTGGCCTGTGTCTGGTCGCTCAGAACACAAGATGTTCCAGCCAGCGGAGGTGGCCCGGGGCCCCCCTCCCAGGCAGGGCCGAGCCATGCAGCCCAGCGTGGGTGACCACCAGGTGTGTGACCGCGTATTTGCTGATGGACGCTGGGCTGTCCCCACCCTCTGGCTGTTTGTGCATTGTGTTGCTGGGGACACGGGGCAGTGTGAACCTGAGTCAGTTTTCTGGGCTGCAGCGATGCGCCGGCCTTTCATTTCACAGTAGACACCCTCATCCACGTCCATACTGTAAGCTCTCTGTCGAAGGGCATGTGCGCTTGCCGGACAGACAGACACGGCGTAATGGCTGTGTCTCTGGACACCCACGTAGCTGACCGCAGTTCGAGTCCCGGACCCGGTGGCTTAAACTCACACCAGGCGTGTGTGCGTGCGTGCCCAAGATCCCGAGAGGAGAATGGAGGAGAGGGGACTGTGGCGTGGCCATCACCCCTGGGGGGGGGTGATTTCTCGCTTTCTGTCTCTGTCTTTCTGGCCAGCGCTTGAGCCCTATAGCAAAAAACTCAAATAAATAAATAAATAAATAAATAAATAAATAAATGAATGAATGAATGAATGAATGAATGAATGAATGAGAGAGAGGAGAGAAATGCCCCAGGGACGGCCAGGCCCCGACCCCTCCTCCATTCTCCTGAGCCGGGCAAGCACCCACACTTACCTGTCTCACCCCTCCTACCCAGGTCTCCAATCTCCGTGGGCGTGGGCCACATGGGAGTCCGATGCCACAACCCCACCACCTGCCGGCCCTGAGCCTTTTACTGTTAATTGCCAGAGAGCTCATGGGGGCCGATTAGCGGCTGGTCAGAGCCGCAGTCGGACCCCACTAAGTCACCCTGCACCCCTGAGCCCCTGAAGATGGAGCAGGGAGTGTTTTCCTGCAGTGTTTCCCCTTAGAATTAGTCCAGGGTCCCTTCCCCGGGCACTGGGGACTCTGGGCCTGACCTTGCTCTGGGGGCGTCTGGGCCGCAGGTGCTGAGGAGCGCCCTTGGCTCCACCCACTCCTCAGGAGCCCCCAGCGGAGCCCCACAGCCGCCCCGTTCCCTGGAGGCAGAATCTTCCGGGGAGACCCGGACTAGGGGATTCCACGGACACCCCAAGAGACACTGCGTCCCACACGCCTCTGGCTCCGTGAGGCCCCAGGACGCTGCGCACAATCTAAACGCGCGCTGAGTGGCAGTGGGGAGAGCGGGGAGTCCCAGAGGCCGGCCCGGTTTACACCGCCTGCCATGGGGGGTCGACACTGGTGTCTACGTGAGCAGAGAGCAGACCTACTGTCGCTCCCAGAATACTCGGTGCAGGCCTCCGGCTGGGGCGTTCCGGGGAGCTCGGCCGGCCTCGGGAGTGGCCCGCGCCGACTCGGGCGAGGCCGCCTTGGGTCGGCAGGTGGCGACAGCGCCCGCGGGATCGGTGGGGTCCTCGCCGGCCGCCGGCCCGCCCCTCTTCGGAGCTGCTCCCGGGCCTCCGACAGACCCGGACGGCGTACCTGAGCTCACCTGACGCCGCAGGGAGCCAGCAGAACCTGGAGCCGGCCCAGCCGCGGCGGCGGACGGCGGGCGGCGTGCAGGGCTGGGCAGCACAGGGCCCGTGCCCGCGCAGGCTGGGGGAGCGGATCCTGGCACAGCACAGGGACCCGGCACTCTGCCTCCGAGCTGTGTGCTGGCCTGCTTGCTAGTCCCGTTGCATGGTCCAGATCCCACCTAGGCGGTTGGGGAGCCCTACGAGTGCAGGCGTGCCCCCAGTCTGCAGAGGGGTGGAGGGACAGAGAAGGGCCTGCAAGCGACTGCCTGGGACACGTCCTCCCTCTTCCTCTCTGCTGAGCACTCCCCGCTTCCGGCAAACGGAAAACAAATGGAAAGATGTACCTCTTCTCTAAGGATTTTTTTTTTCTGGGAGAGGTTTTTGCTATAGGGCACATGCACTCGCCAGAAAGAGAGATAGAGAGACAGAAAGGCAGAAAGTGAGAAATTACCCCTCAGGGGGATGGCCACGCCGCAATCCCCTTCTCCTCTGATCTTGGGCATGAATGCACTCATGCCCCGCTTGAGTTTAAGCCACCGGGTCCGGGACTTGAACCGTGGTCGACTACATGGGAGTCCAGTGACATAGCCATTATGCCAACTGCTGGTCCCTAAATAATTCTTTAAAAGAAAAGAAGACACAAGTGGATTGCATTATATTTCTGAGGCAAGAAGCCCAAAATTCAGCCCCAGAGAGCAGAGTTGAGGTGTGGGCGGGCCCGTCCCCTGGAGGCTCCAGGACAGGGGTGCCCCATGAACTGGAGGAGCCAGAGGGCTGCCGAGTGGCGTCTGCAGGCAAGGGTCCCCTGTGGAAGCTGGGCCGAGACAGGCCTGTCCCGGAGGCTCGACCACAGAGAGGCCTTCCAGAGCAGGCAAGGGAGAGAGAACCTACGGCCAACTGCAGTTCAAATCCCTGACCTGGCAGCTTGAAAAACATGACAGGACCAGCAGATGGCGGAATGGTTACATCGCTGGACTCCCATGTAGTCGACCACAGTTCAAGTCCCCAGTCCCAAACCTGGTGGCTTAAACTCACGCTGGGCACGTGTGCACACGTGCCCAAGATCCCGAGAGGAGAATGGAGGAGAAGGGATTGTGGCGTGGCCATCCCCCCGGGAGATAACTTCCTCACTTTCTGTCTCTCTCTCTCTCTCTGGTGAGTGCGCATGCCCGATAGCAAAAATCTCGCTTAAAAAATAAAAAGATATTTGTCAGGAAACAACGGGGTAAAAGAATAGAGGAGTGAATGGGACCAGCAGTTAGCGTAATGGCTATGTCGCTGGACTCCCACGTAGTCGACAGCGGTTCACGTCCCGGACCCGGTGGCTTAAAACTCACGCCGGGCGCGTGTGCGTGCGTGCCCAAGATCCCGAGAGGAGAATGGAGGAGAAGGGATTGTGTCGTGGCCATCCCCCCTGGGGGGTGATTTCTCGCTTTCTGTCTCTCTGTCTCTCTCTGCCTTTCTGGCGAACGCATGTGCCCTATAGCAAAAAAAAAAGAATAGAGGAGTGAAAACTACCTAGGGTATGCCCCCCACCCCGCGTGGCTAGGGTTCTGGGGAGTCTGCAGGAACCCTCCGGCCCGAGGCAGGTCCATTTCTGGATGACCTGGTCCAGGCTCAGCACACCTTGGGGACAGCTGGGCTCAGGGCCCTGCCTGCGGCAACCTCTGGAGGTCGACAGGGAGACCAGGAGCCTAACAGACCACCGCCTTCTGCCCTGAGAGGTTTGGCCCAGCCAGGGGACAGGGCGTGGTCCTCGCACAGAGCTGCCTACTTGCGGGAGGGGCCTCCCTCTGGAGGTGCTCTGGCCACAATCCCATCTGTCCCCCATGGGCCCTGTGAGTTCCGGCACACGTGTGCGTGCTCCCGCAAGCTTTTCAAGCCTCTGTGTCGGGACTTGAACCACGCAGTGACCACGTGGGATCCAGCTGCCGTCACTCCAAGCCACCAGCTGGCCCGAGATTTTTTTCTCTTTTTTTTTTTTTAAAGAATTATTTATTTATTTATTTAATTTGTTATCTTTTTTTTCTTCTTTTTATTTGACCAGAGAGAGATAGAGAGGGAGAAAGGGGAAGTGAGAAAGCAAGCCGCCAGGTCCAGGACTTGAACCACGGTGGCCAAGTGGGAGTCCAGCACCCCAACCGCCATGCCATCTGCCTGCCCCGTATTTTTCTTTCTTTCTTTTTTAGAGAGATATTTGCTATAGCATTCATGTGTTCACTGGAGAGACAGAAAGTGAGAAATCACCCCCAGGGCGATGGCGACGCCGCAATCCCTTCTCCTCCACTCTCCTCTCGGGATCTTGAGCACACACACATGCCCGGCGTGAGTTTACGCCACCGGGTCCAGGTCTTGAACCATGTTTGACTGTGGGAGTCCAGCGATGTTGCCATTACATCATCTGCTAGTCTCAGAGGCCATTCTATTAGATGTGGAAAATCCGGGCCTTGTATCAGCTAGAAAAACACTAGGAGCGGGTTATGTGTTTGCCAGAAATCCCAGGAGGACGGACTGCAGCTGGCCATGCCTGGGGTGGGGTCGGGGGACGGGGTGCTTTCTCACTCCCCTCTGTCTCTCCCAAGAGCACATGTGCCCTATGGCAAAGCCCTGACCTGCCCACTCAAAAAAACTGAGGTCCAGAGGCAGGCCAAGCCCAAGACCAAGGGCAGATCGGACTGTCTCTGCGGACACATGCTCCGGGGTGCCTGCAGAGGAGGATGGGGATCCCCGTGGTGCTGATTTCCCCAGGAACCTCCAGGCTCTGCGAGGCCCCAGTCAAGGGATGGGTCTCGAACTCGTCACACTACTCTGGCCGGCTTGGCACCGCACAGCCCGCCCCAGCCA